GACTCGATCCAGAGACTCCAGGATCATGACCTGAGCCGAAGGCAGTCGCTTAACCAACTGAGCCACCCAGGCGCCCTGTTTTGTTTTATTTAAGTAGGCTCCACACATGGAGCCCAACGCAGGGCTTGAACTCATGACCCTGAGATCAAGACCCGAGCCGAGATCAAGAGTTGGACGCTTAACCGATTGAGCCACCCAGGTGCCCCCTGGAGCTGTTTTAGACACAGCTGCCTCCCTCGCCCAGAAGTCTGGGAGCTGGGGGCATCTATAATTCAGAGGGCATGAGCACACGGCAGAGTGCTGGGTGCCATACGGGTTGTTGCCCTGCCGTGCTCCCTTTGCCAAGTGAGAGGTGGGAGAAGTCCTTGGCCAGGGTGACTTGGATGCCCAGGTGACTTGACCGAGAGTTCTGGTTTCTGTTCCTGGCCACATCACAGGGCCCCCTGGCTGGGGCACCACTGAGGCCCCAGTGGCATCAGGTAGGCCTGAGATCGTCTGATAAAAGAGCGAAGGCTCTGGTGAGCCAGCCTTCTTCACCTCCCTCCGGGCAGCTCCTGCTTCTGACACTGCACATCCTGACAGTTAATCCTCAGCTCTTCAGTTTGCTCTGGAAACCTGGAAATCACCTTTGAAATTTCCCCTCTTTGTTCTCACTGCCAAGGGCAGAGAGGGAGTAGGGAGGCCTAAGAGGCCAAACTGGGGAGTTTCCAGTTCTCGAAGCTGCCCCTTCGTGGCTCTGAGAAAGAGATCCGTGCGGTCTATCACCATAGACATCTGGGGCCCTTCTCCCCAGTCCTGGTCCTTGTGCACTGACCCCTCCTCCCCTGTTCCCCAAACACACTCATCCCCAAGAGGGAAATAGATACCAAGGAGAAAGGAGGTGTTGGTGACTCTCAGTCCCTCCAGAGACCTAGCTGTAACCTGAGCAGAGGGGTGCGCTTCGAGGTCACCCAAGGGCGTCCCATATCCCCTGGGACATGTAATGGGCCCTCTCTGGAACTGGCTGGGAGCTGACCAGATCTCAAACTGGTCTGGGACCAGTTAGAGACTCAGTCTCCTCTAGGCCAAGAATTCCACAATGGTCCTGGCAACTGCACCACTTGCCCTTTCCAGATCCTTAAGCTCCTGGGAAAAGGCTGAGGGATATCCTGATTGAAGCCACTGGAAATGCAGCATCCGGGGCTGTGATGACGGATGTTTTCCTGCTTCCTTTTGGTGATGGTGGCAGGGAGGGGCTGAGAAGGGAAAGGCTTCCCAGGTGGACAGCTTTGATAACTCTCCTTTAGGAGGAAGTAGAGGAAGTCCTTTTCCTATGCCCCGCTCACCTCGGTCCCCAGGCCCTCAGAAAGATCCCTGAAGGGTGGCTGACCCAGGCTTTCTCATTTCCCCCTCTGTGGGCTGACAACAGCTCCCGGATCCTTTGGGAAGTTGGCCAGGCAGTGCTAACTGGAGAATCCCAGGGTGAACCCTGGCCTCCACTCCGGTCCGAAAGCTGCCTTGCAAGAACTAGGGGTGAGGAGCTCAAATCAGGGACACCATGGCACATGACCAATGTCGTGGGGGAGGGAGTGGGGGCTTGCCTTTCAGATAAGACTCCTGGGCCCATCTGTAGGGACTGGCCTGAGCTGAGCTGCCAGTGGACTCTTGGAGAACCTCAGAAGGCATTTAGCATATCTGGGTCTTTCCTTGACTTGGCCACAAGCAGGTGAGCAGGAGGGCCTGTTAGGGCCTAAGGCCTGAAGCATGGGTACCTTAAATAGAATATGCCAGACAGGCCCTAGAGAGACATGACAGGTACAGGAGACTTTTCTTCTTCTTCTTCTTTTTTTTTTTCTTAATTTAAAACCCAGGAATCCTCATTTTTGACCGGTTGTGCTTTTATTAAAAAGTATGAATCATGAGCAAGTAGTCATGCAGGAAACTTTATCCTCTGCCCACCCACCCATGGAAAAGGCCAGTGCTGGAAATGAACAGAACACAGCAGGAAATGAGTGAAGGTAGAAAAGGGGAGGGGGGTGGGGGGAGCTGCAGCCTTATCTTGGAGGAGCATTTGAGAGGGAAGGGCTCCCGGAGTCTGTTAGCAGGAACAGAGAAGCCTGCCATAACGTACAGAAGACTGTCCCTGCCAGTGAAACCAAACCACCTTTTGAAACTTTCCACTGGGGCCATCTTGCAGGTGGAGCCAGGAGCTCAAGTCTCTGCCTGGTGGGGGTGGGAGCGGAGGTGAGGAAAAACAGCAGGAAACGAGCTGTTTAGGGCTTAAAGGTTGTCCAGATGCACTCTGACTTGGTGCAAAGACAGAATTGGGAGTCCCAAGACCTGATTTAACATTCTGACCTTGCTAATTATCTACGTGCCTTTGAGCAGGTTGCTTCATCCTTCTGAGACGCATTTTATCTCTAAAATCAGAGACACAATACCTGCCCTTTTTTTTTTTTTTAAGGTTTTGTTTATTTATTTGACAGAGAGAGCACAGGCAGAGGGAGCCTCAGAGGGAGAGGGAGAAGCAGGCTTCCCGCTGATCCCAGGACCCTGGGATTATGACCTGAGCCAAAGGCAGATGCTTAACCCACTGAGCCACTCAGGCACCCCATACCTGCCTTTTGAACAGTCGTCATGAGGATTATGTGAGGAAATGTATGTGAAGGCAGGTTGCAAAGTCTAAAGCACAGAACAAATATTGAGCATCCGTTTACCTCCACTTAAAAAGACGCAGGGTCTAACCTGGAGGAGGGGGGTTACACCCATCTCCCTCCCAGCCCGCTGAAGCACAGAGCCTTCCCTGCCCACCCCATGCTGTTAACTGTCTTGCCCTCTATCTCCAGCATCTCCAAGACCACAGCTTTTTTTTTCCCCTCTGGTGGAAAGGAGCTGGGAAATGTGGCTTTGGCCAGTGCGGGAGAAGGGGCCTTTATGTGTACCAGCAAAGACCCAATTGTTACTGAATCCAAACTGGGCTGCTTTTCCCAATTATCTCCACTACTCTTCTGGTCTCCATTTTCAGATGCCAAGTTTTAACTCAGAACAAAAGCTCCTGTCGGGACTGATTTATAATCCAGATCTGCTGATGGGGGCCCTCCACTGTTCCTCCCCTCCAGGACTGCACCCGCTTAAAGTTACCACCAAAGCCTCGGGGCTCCAGTCTCTTTATCTCTGTCATTTGCCCCTAGCCAAGAGGAGGCATCCGTATCTGGGTGCTGATGGGGCGGCTTCCCTGGGGTTTGTCCACCTGCCCCAGCTCCAAGGACCAGCTGGCAAGGTCCACCCCAGCACGGCCCCAGCGCAGGAGGCCAGAGCTACAAGTGACTTCTAGGAGCTGCTGTGGGCGGAGGCAGGCGGTTCTAAAAGGTGGTAGTTCTCCACCGAGGCTTCCCCTCAGCCGCTTTCATCTGAACATTAGGGCTCATGTCACTTGTTATTCAGCCTTCCAGTGGCATCAGGAGTCATTTCTTGGGGGCAGGCTCTGTGCAACAGGAGTCTCCCGGAGGGTTGTCTTCACCGGGAGTTGGGCAAGGGCGCTGCTGTTCCTCCGTGTGGAGCATGAAAAACAAGGAGCAGACTCTCCGGAGATTAGTGGGTCTTCCTGGCTGGTAAGACCCGTTCCAGTCTGACTGCGGGGCGGCGGGGGGGGAGGCAGTGGGCGTTGCGGCCAAGAAACGAAGCAGAATTTCGGGCCAAAAGATAGACCCACTCTGGTCCGCCCCGAAAAGGAGCCTCGGTTTCCCCGGCACCCCTCCCTCGGATACTCGCCCCGAGGTGGTTTGCCCGCGTTGGTTCCAGTAATTGCAGCGTGGGGAGCTCCTCAGCCCCATTCCCGAGCCCAGCCGCCCAGCCCGTGGTTGGCCTTGGGGGACATTTCGGAAAGACCGGGTGAGTCCGATCACCCCCG